TTGAGATAGGTTCCTTGAACTAGAAGAAACAGGACATTATATAAAACAGGCTGTCAACCAGTTGCACAAACGTTCATTATAATTTTCATTAGTTTAAAGCGACCTTACCCATACAAATAAGACATTAATTAGAGCTTAAATACGTCATTAAACCTTAATGGATGTTTGTGCAACTGACTTTGTATCTCATGATTCATGAAGCGTGTGATAGACAGTTGCGTATAGCGGTAACAGACACATCATTTGTGAAATTTTCACAAATGATGTGTCTTGTACCGCTATAACAACAAATACTAAAAATAGTATAAAACAAATATTTGAGGGGTTCTCCCATTCAATAAACGCGATCTTTTTTTATATGCAGCTACACCGGTTTTTATAAATGCAGCTCGACTAGAGAGAACACAAGATAAATAATAAGCACTAAATGAAAATAAATGCATTTTTTTTCTGGTAGTGTTTAATATACTCTTATCGATAATTACACATATATGTTATAATCATTGTCACATGAACGAAAACAGCGAGTGCCGTCACGCCCCTCTTACACATATCGTCACTTAGAAAACTAACCCATATAGAAAGGTATCAGATTAAGAGGGGGGCGTAAAGCGTCGCCAGTGTCACCCTGTGACGTTAAAGCAACGCCATGACAGAGTTTTGTAAAATAAATCTATTTTATCCACAATGAAATCGAAAAATTAGAATTACGAATTCAAAAACGATTCTATAAATACGCACTTTATAAACGCATATACATAAAATTAAAAATAAAACTCATTATAGTACCGCCAACTGTATCATAATAGTTAATTAATATACGAGTGCGGAAAGTAAGGTTTTACGAATAAGGGCCAAATTGAAAACACGAGCGTAGCGAGGGTTTTCATTGGCACGAATTCGAAAAACCTATTACGCTCAAGTTTGTTACAACATTTTTCAATTCTTTTTGCGAGGAAATAAAACAAATATATAGGGATGTATTAAAGGTAAAAAATATTTGTTAAAATTAAACATGATATTTGAACATGTTTTCGTGTCATACATTTTTATTTGAATATATTCGTTCTAGGCTCCTTGAAATACTTTTGCCTCTAAAGGTTGACAAATTTAATCATTTTTTTTTAATTTCTTTGGTGCTCGGTCAAAAAAAAATTAATAAAATACTTTTAAGCACGTGTGCAGTAAAGGATTTCAGTACATTTTTATATAACACGTGTTTAAAGATTTACTTTCGGTATTTACAATGGATTAAAAAAATAGCGCTTTATGAGCAACTGCATTGAAAAACTCATTATTTTAGGTTTTAGGCAGAAAATGAAAAAAAATGGCGCACGCGTGCGTAGTTTGTTTTAGACTAGCTTACCGCCCGCGGCTTCGCCCGCATGGTACTATAATACTCATAAACCTTCTTGAATCACTCTGTGTAAGGTATATTTATTTATTTAAGCTCTTCAATATTAGATACATAAATCATTCTACAATTAAACTTATATAATTACAACGGCAAATTGAATAGTAAACAATGGTTACTGTGGTAACATTTTACTTCCCTACACAAACTTCCACTCTCATTTTCATCCCTTTATTTGCGGTTTCACTACATAGTACAAAACAAAGTCGCTTTTTCTTTCCCTATATCGATATGTACGCTTAAATCTTTAAAACTACGCAACGGATTTTGATGCGGTTTTCTTTCATAGATAAGGTGATTCAAAAGGAAGGTTTTTATGTATAATACAAAAGCCTCGTGGTCGAAGCCTCTGGCGGAAAGCTAGTCTCTTAACATAACGCTCTTTTAAACTGACACATAACACTTTATGGTCTGAATCTATGGTCTAAATATTTGGTTATTATAACGCTCTTTTAAACTGACACATAACACTTTATGGTCTGAATCTATGGTCTAAATATTCGCCCTCCTATACTTAAGTCCTTTTAGAACCGTTACGCTTAGTTTTTGTTATCGTTGGCGAGAATTTTATCAGGAAAGGTATCAGTTTTATGTGGTACTGTATCAATATTCGGGGAAATCATTAATACCTTTTGATATGATAAGATAAATGACCTATACGTACTGCAACTTTAACAGTAACTACAGATAACCTTCGTAATTTTTATTCGTACGAATTAACATGACATCTGCGACCCTATTCTATTTGATCTCGAACGAAAATTCGAAAAATTTCATATCGTTCTTTTAATTTTGTTTATATCATATCGGTTAAGGTTATCTGTGCATCAGAGGCAATGTCATCTACTACCTCCGGTCTATTATAAATTATCGAATATTGTATTTCCTTTGAGTCGTATTAACATTTTGAAAATTGATGTAATTTCGATTTCGGTGAAACAGAATAGGCTGTCAGGTGTCATATTAATTTCGGTATGTTCCGAATTTATTACAAATTTTACGATTCTCTAGCATTGATTCTTGCTACAGCTTTAAAAACTTTTTATCCGAATAATAATTAATCTATTGATATTTTAAAATGAAAGGTTTTTTAATTATTTATCTGTATATGTAATCAAACATTTTGGTTTATTTTTCTTATCGCAATAACCTTGTTATTAAGAATATTAATATATTTATAGATAGAATCAATAGAATGTTCTTATTAGTGATGTGCCGGATCATTAAAAATGTATATCCGCGGATACGGATCCGAATACGGATATTTGGTGTCAAGATCCGCGGATACGGATACGGATCTTTATAATTAATATATTTTTCAAGTTCCTCTATTTTTCACTGTGTTTGCTCGTGTAATCTAATGTTTCCACTTTATATGGTAGGTAGTACGTACTAGGTACGCAGTATTAATTTACTTTATAAGAATTTATTTTTGGTAAGGCCAAATATGAACCTTATGTTGCATAAGGTTCATATTTGGCCTTCGCAAGTAGATTGCGTAATTTCATACCCACTGCCACTAAAGTTGTGCTTGCACAGTCTCTTTTGCTTCCTGTACTTGACTATGCTGACGGCTGCTTCTTAATATTACAGAGGACCAGCTAAATAAACTTGAGCGCCTTCAAAACCTCGCATAAATGCATAACTGCATAACAAAAATATGTTCATTCATCTATATTTATAAACTAGCTTTCCGCCAGCGGCTTCGCCTTCATGGTCTTCTATTATAATTATAACTTTCAATCCTAAAATCTATATCTAAAATCCGTTTCGTGGTTTTAAAGATTTAAGCATACATACAGATATAGGGACCGAGCGACTTTGTTTTATACTATGTAGTGAAGCGAAAGGTCACTCACTTACTCTTCAAATGCTAGGAGTTTCAAATTTTGCATACGGTTTCGTTTTAGGACGTAGGTGCTCACTAAGACGGAATTTTACTAAATTCGACCTCTAAGGGGGTAAATAAGGGCATGAGTTATGAAATTTTCTCATTTCTGTACTCAACGTTTTACTTACACGTTGAAATATTAAAATTAGTTCAAAGTTGTTTCTTTAAATTTTTTCGTTTCTATTTTTGATAAAATAATATCTTACGAATGGAACTATTTATAACTGTTTTTGATAAAATAATATCTTATGAATGTCGGCGGAATGTTGAAGGGATGCAATAAATTATAAGTTTAAGAACCCACTTAAATGATTGACTTTCTGGGAACAAGGCTAGTGTTGTATCATGTCTCACTCGACGAAGTCTTTGGTCAGCTCATTAACAATTATTGTTTATTTCATTTTCTATTAAGAACTATGGGTACCTGTGTTGCATATCCATATGAAGCTTTAGTATGAGAGACGCAGTGTGCACTGTGCGTGGCCCAAGACTTCATTATTTATTATTCCGTACACAAAGAGTAAAAACGGGTACCTTATTGCTAAAACATCGCTGTCTGTCCGTTTGTCACCAGGCATCTCATAAACCTTGAAAGTTAGACAGTTGAAATTTTCACAGACGATGTATTTCTGTTTCAATTTCAATAACAAATACAAAATAACCAGATTAAATTGAATTTTGCTCGTTTTTGCACGACATAACGGCAAGAGGTAGATGCTCGAAGTATTTACAGAATGTGAATGTATTTATATAATAACTTTAAAAATAAACAATTAAATAAAAATATACAACAAACGTGATTTTTTTTCGCTCGTTTCCGGTAGGGAACCTTTCGTGCTCGAGTTTGACTCACGCTTGGCTGGTTTTTAACTAAACATGTAAATTATAATTCTTCTATTTTGAATAAGCGTTCAATAATAACAGATAAAAGTGTACACACACGGTGTTATAGTCGGGTCACATACACTAAAGGTATCTGCTGATATATAACATCGTTGCACACGGTCCCATTGTTGGAGTGACCGATATATTACCAAAACTGCTGATGCAGCGGCACGTGGAGCAACAACGGACGTGGAGGCAATCCGAGTAATAGAGTTCACTTTTAGATCAACCATCGATCGTTATTTTATATCATTAAATTAGTATTAAGTAAATTTTGGTAATCTTTGAAATCTCCGGCTGCAGCTTCTGTAATTACGGCAGCAATATCAATTTCGACAGATTTGTTTATAAATATGATATGTATAACTTGACGTGTTGTTGACTGTACTTAGTAATGTTGTCTGAATCGACTTCAAAGTACACGTATCCAATGAGGAAATATTAAAAATAATATATTAGTCCGAAATCAAACTAGATGTCGCTATGGTACGTTCTTGATTTCTCCATGACAACCCATCCGGTTTTCTTTTATGTTTAAAAATAAATAACTTTCAAAATTCAGTAAACAACTCATATTCTATTTGTACTTTTTCGTATTTTTATTGATATCTAAGTCCAAACAAAAGTCCAAACTTTTCAAATTTCAGTTTTTTAATATGTTAGTTAAAAGGAACGGAAATGGCTGTCTTTGGTCCATTCGTTTCCTGCAAAAATCAAACTTTGCTAGAGTCGCCATCTAGTGGACGTGCTTTTTTAGTGCTTTCGTTTTTTTTAAATACTTGCTCATTAATATTTCAATATATTTTGCCTATGTTCATAATGTTGCGTCTTTAGGTAAGTGTCCTATTTAATATGTCTAATCTAAAGGATTACATTAGAAAAAAAGGGTATATAAAAAAGTGTAAAATTAATAAATAAAACCCTCAAATAACAAACAGCGCCATCTTTATATATATACCCAATAGTTTCATCATTTATTTAAAAACACATATTCATTTCTCCCCGGCAATTTCGTTACATGTAACAGTACAGGCTTGTTACTTCCTTTTCTTTTCTCGAAAGCGCGAGCCATTTCTTTGCTAGCTGTTTCCAAATCTATATTAATTAAAACTGGTCTGCCATCGTTATCCGGCCATTCGTTTACATCTGAAGCCTTCTCTATATATTTATTTTTATTATCTATTAGTAGCACTGAAGGCACATTGGCGTCATTTTGCAATCCATCCGTTTGCTTTCCCGCGCTTTTTGCAAGTTCGTTTTCATTGACACAATCGTCGATGTTGACTTTTACGTTCATTTCGGCGTTCTCTTCGTCGTTTGTATGCGCATCGATTGATAATTCGATAAGGTTTATATCGAATGTCTCGTATTCGACAGAAATGTTGTACAAGTATTCAGATATTTTTACCACCATTTCATCGATTTTGTCCATGTTGTTTTTTGTCATACGTATGCATCGGTTCGTGTTATGGTTTTTGTTGGCTGTAATTAAAAAAGTTTTAGCATTTCAATAACTTAGATGATACTTCCTTAATGGAAGTTGTATCAAAATACATTAGATGGAACGCGTTACCCAGTAGCATATTTAATATTTACGATAATTATATAAAAAACAAGTGTAACATCTTTTTTGTATTGCACTTGGAAAGAATGACATTAACTAAGTATGTTAAGTATAGTATGATGGGGTGACTTGTTCAAAGGGACCCCTTAACATAAAAGAATGAGGAAGTATTAAAAAAAAATAGTTCTCGAAATGAAACTAGATGTCGCTACGGTACGTTCCTGATTTCTCCATGACAACCCTTCCGGTTTTCTTTCAAGATTAAAAGTAAATTAGTTTTCAAAACTCAATAAACAACTCATATTCTATTTGTACTTTTTCGTATTGGTATTGATATCTAAGTTTCGGACTTTGCAAATTTCAGTTTTTTAAACGGAACAGAATGAGAACGGAAATGACTATCTTTGGTCCATTCGTTTCCCGCAAAAATCAACTTTTGCTAGAGTCGCCATCTAGTACGAGGTGCTTTTTTAGTGCTTTCTTTTTTTATACTTCCTCATTTAAAAAAGAATGTAACATGGAGCAAATCATCGCTCCACCCTCAGGTGCGGTAGAGCTATGATTTGTGCAAGATGGCTGGCAGGAGCTGGATGCGAACAGCCGAGCATCGAACATGTCCAGAAGTGGACGAATATGGGCTGATGATGATATAACGTGAAAATTGGAGGATACAGAAGATACATTACATACATTCACGCTCAAGTCGATCACGTGATGTCAGAAGCCATAAAAACCGGCGAGTATGTATGAAAAGAGTAATGAAAGTGGATGAGCCGAAAGATTTTACCATTTTTATGGTTTTTTTTAAATTATTTTTTTAATTAGTTTGCGCCTCTTTGTATTATAGCGTTCATAGGCATGTGCCTAGTTTGTCTAAAGGAAGATCCGTCCCTGGATATAATAGAGATTTAAAGGAATTCGTATATATGTCATGGCCATATCGTAGAATTGATCATTTCATGATCTGGCTAGTCATTTTATGAACTGGTCGTTTAATGATAAAGCAATATACTTTTGGTCTTATCATTAATGTAGTGTGTCTAAAACAGAAATTTAATTATTTGCTGAAATAGTTAATAAATAACCTATCACATGACCTACAATGGTGAACCATATAGGAAAAATTATTTCAGTTCACACGTCAAAAGCTTTTATATCCTCCAATATAGTTTTATCATCCTCTGGAGCTAGAACAAAACCCTGTCTTGCGACTTACCTTAATCATGAATTACATTGATTTTTAGAAGTAAATTTAAAAATCATTCTATTAAGTGCCTATCAAGAATCTTACCCTCTTTGGTGACACAAAGACCGAGATGAACTATCTGTAAGAAATAATAAGATTGATTACTGTAAAAGAAATGTGGCGACATCTATCTAACCGTGCTAACATTGCTACAATAATCGACGGCAACACTGAAGCTTCTACTGACTTCGAACAGTCACGAGATGGCGCTGCGATACCTGCATCGCGCTTACTAAGATTCGCCGTGATTTAAGATATATAATGCCACTTCCGTTCTGTATACGTTGGACCGAGGTTAAAAATAAATTTAAAATTACAAACTCATAATTACTTATTTTACAATACATTACAATCCCCTTCACAGCCATAGCCATGTAATTATGTATCGTCTAAAGGCGCAATCTATTTCATCAAGAAAATAATCAAGAAACTTAATAAAAACTTAAAGTAACACTTACGTCTTTGGCCTTGGACGGTTCCAATTAACCTCAAATTAACGATATCGTTCATATCTTAAAAAGACGTCGTTGTCGCAATAGCTATAGCATTAGGTTCGTGAATATCTTACAAATTATTATAATTGCTAAATTTTTCATTCACAATGCTATATTGGAAAATACTCTTAATGAAAAATGCTCAAAAAATCCACTCTGACTCTGGTACTCTGAGGTGGGATTCGAACCCACTGTCTTTCGCATTCCAGGCGACTAACTATTGAGCTACCCAAAACCCAAGAGGACTAACGAGATTTTCAATCACTTGTTACTTGAAAAATTCGTCAGTCCTTTTACGTCCTGCGTTTGAGCAGTCGCCTGGATTACGAAAGGTCGTGGGTTCGAATCCCACCTCAGAGTACCAGAGACAAAGTGGATTTAATAAGCGTTATTAAGAATATCTTTCAAATGTCAAATTGAAAGTGATTGGGTAAGATTTGACAATTAGGCAATCAGCCCCTTAATCCATTGTTACCTTTTAGAGTTTTTAAAGGAAATCACTATATAGCAGTCACGTAACATTATATTAAAAATAATTATTAAACTTAATTTCGAAATCCACTTACGTTTAATCCCACAAAGAAGATTTTTAAAACAGTCTTCATCTTTACCAATCACGATAACGTATTAAATCCAAAAGAACATAAACATACTACAATGCTATCATGTCGGGTAACAATCGACATAAATAATAATGTTATTAATTTAAATACATATAAATTATATCCTATTTAAATCAACAAAGCATCAATTTATAAGAAACTGTAAAACTCACTACTCGATTTTAAACTTTAATAGATTGTCAGTAAACTTCATTATCAACTGCGGTATTTTGACATATAATGATAACCCGACAAGCTAGGTGTTACAGCTTACGCACAAAAATAATTAAAATTAAAAAAAAAAGACCATGAGCGCGTCGGGCTTCCGTATGAAGATTCCGTACCATTATCTATAAAAAACGCAAAAAAAAATATTAATTTGAAAGCTATTTAGAAATGTCAACTATTATTTGTTAAATTTAAATATTCGTATATTTATACATATATATATTCGACGTTGGAAAGCAAAATCTTTATATTTTTCTGAAAAAAAAAAATATTTTTTCCGTATAAATCGACTAAGGAACACCTAATTTGTTACCATGGACGTTTATAGGAATTATTTATCAAAAAAATTAAAAGTTTTTCTGGTCTAAAGAACAATTTTGGTTTTGCGGGTTACTACGTGTTTGGTTTCCAGCGTCGTATGTAATCATTACCGGGGTACTCAACATTTACTAAAGAAAGGATAATATGTTTACAATTTTAATTAACGAAGAATACATATTCCTAATGATCGGAGGTCGGAATTAGGTAAAGTTATTTATGTACTTGCATCGAAATGTTGATATTAATGTGGACCTTCCCGGGATTTCTTTATTTCTTTCTTTCATTGATGTAAGTTTGGCAACGACGTGCGTGCAGTAGTTTAAATTGTGTAAAAGTAAATAATTTTTTTTCTGCTCTTTAAAATTAATCTCGGAATTTGAGACATATCCACTTTATTCTTTCACTGTATGAAATCAGTGTAAGTACATGAATAACTCTACCTAATTCCGACCACTGCTAATGATAAATGCTTACAAAATCCACTTTGTCCTTGGCACTCTGAGATGGGACTCGAACCCATGACCATTCGCGACCCGTCTGCTCTAACCACTGAGCAACCCAGGATTTAACGGAACAGGAACAACGAATTTATCAAGCTCTTGCTACTTTTTCGCTACTACAGAGCGTATTTCCTTTAATGTTGTGGCAATAGTAATTAATATAAGTTTTTAATAGCCGAATGCTAACGGCAACTTTTAGAATGATTGAACTTAGTTTTTATTATATCTTGATCATTAAAATCGTCATTCATTACGAAAACTAACGTAACTTAACTCCATTATTCGCTCTCACAATCCACACCTTTGTATTTACAAAATCTAGGTATTACAATAGAATTTGAAATTATATGTACAGTGAGGAAATATCTAAAAAAAAAAGCACCTCCACTAGATGGCGACTATAGCGAAAGTTGATTTTTGCAGGAAATGAATGGACCAAAGACAGTTATTTCCGTTCTTTTTAACTAACATATAAAAAAAAACTGAAATTTGCAAAGTTGAAACTTAGATATTAATACAAATACGAAAAAGTACAAATAGAATGTGAGTTGTTTATTGAGTTTTGAAAGAAAACAGGAAGGGTTGTCATAGAGAAATCAAGAACGTACCGTAGCAACATCTAGTTTGATTTCATGAACTGAAACTTTAAAATATTTTTTTTTTAATTTATTTACAATGGGCTCACTCTTGACCTCAATCTAGCCTAAGGACATAGATGAGATCTACGGTGGGATGAGCTTGTTCAGGAGGAACCTATTCACTTTTGCCTTTAATAGGTCTGGGTTTCCACTACTTGGCGGCGCGCAGCAAAAAAGACGAAGAAAAGCGCTTTGTGCGGCATCTTGTGATATAAACTAAATGAGGATGGTATCCCGCCGTGTGTCTAGATTGGCGATGGTAAAACGGTGAAGGCGGAATTAGCTCATGCAGCTCGCGAGCACACTCCCGTGGTACATTCTATAAAAGACGGACAGGCAGGCTATATTACGGCGATGGCTCAGGCTGTGCAGCTTGGATTCGACTACTCTTATGTCGCCAATGAGTCTCTTGGATCTACGTTCCACCGACTCTAGTGCGGCAAGCTGATCCATCCCACAAGTGACGCACGACCGGACTTGCGCTTTGTATAGAGTCAAAAGCTGTTCCGGTGTGAAGTACCGCTTTACCCTGTTTAAGATGCTCAGCTTTTTGGCCGCTGTTGGTGCTTTATACCTACTCGATATATTCGCCAAAGTTAAGGTTTACAGTTAACTTCATGACAAGGCGCTCAAGGCTGTCCGTCACAGCAATAGATGCACCCCGGAAAATTGGAGTCAGGTCGAAGTGAGTCCTTTTTGCACTGAAAAGACACGCCTGCGTTGAATCAATAAACTGCTATTGAGTACTTTGCAAATAATGGAGATGATAGCGATGGGTCGATAATTACAAGGATTGGCTCGGCTGCCTTTTTTGAGTACTGGTTGCACATAAGCAAGCTTGCAGGACTTTGGAACCGTTTGACTACTTAGAGAGAGACGGTTCAGGCGTGTCAATACAGGAGACAACTCGGGTGCGCAGTTCTTCAGCACTCTCGCAGGTATGCCATCAGGTCCTTTAGCCTTATTCACCTCTAAACGCTGTAACACTTGCCGGACCTCTTTATTGTGTATTATGTTCCGTGTCATCCGTGGCATTGAAGAATCACATCAAGGTAGAGTTGGAGGGTTTTTATAACCAGCGTCCAGGCGCGAATTTTCCGCAAATAGAGAGGCAAATAAATTAGCTTTCTCAGTGGCGGTGTCAGCCAGTGAA